TGCTTGGATTGAAGGTAACGCGATGTAATGTAATGTAAACGGCTTCTTTGACTCTCTGCTTATATGAACAATAAAAAACTTTCAAACAACTATTATTCTACAAATGGATACTGGAAAGGTTATGCCGCTGTAGATAAATTATCTACTGTTATCGGCGTGGATAAAGAAATTACTAAAAATTGGCTTGAGAAACAGGCGCTATGGCAAATATATCTTCCTAGACCGCAATATATTCCTAGATGGCTTTGGAACGTTGAAAAAGTAAATCAGGTGCATCAGCCTGATTTATTATTTTTACCGCACGATAAGAAATATAAATACGCTTTAGTAGTTGTTGATGTTGCTAGTAGATACATAGATGCCGAGCCGCTTACATCTAAATACGCATCGGAGGCTGCGTCAGCGTTTGAAAAAATATGAATATGAAGACCGCATGGCACTATGATAAACACGATATAGAAATGAAAGAAAGTTATAGTGCTTAGAAGGAGGCAATTCCGGGAGAAGTCCCTTAGAAAGAAATTCGGAAAAATTAATTTCCGACCTCGCTGGGATTCGAAAAAATATATTCGCGTAAGTTGAAAAAAAAAACAGAGACTATTATAGTTGATCCAGGCACTGAATTCAAAGGTGAAGTTTCAAAATACAATATACAAAGATCAGAAGCTAACAACCATAGAGCGCAAGCTTTAGTTGAACGCGCTAATAGAACTATTGCCAAAAAACTTTTCAGCTATCAATATGCCAAAGAAATGATCACAGGCTTACCAGACTAACGAGAAGAGTCGGCTCCAGGACTCCTATGGCGATGGATTATCGGCCGAAAGCCGTTGAAATCTCTTCAAATTAGGCCATTTTCAACAACGATATTTTGGTTATTTKGGGGGGTTATATTCTGATGTTTTAGTTTAGAAATACACTTTAATGCTTTCTGAGTGTGGATTTGTGATTCTTTGAGATGCGTTTTTCATGGGTAAATGATCGTGAGCCCCAGTGAAGTAAGTGGGGATTTACTTCAATTTTGTGCGTCAAGACCAAACGTAGGGGGTGAAGTAGAGATGAAATTAAAGAAAAAATCCATATGAAAGAATTTCCTAAGAAAAGTTGTTCTTGTTTTGCAGTCATATATGCTAATCCCACCTTATTCGGAAGTACGCTGGTTTGAAGCGATTTTTTCTCGATTTTKAAACATGAAATCGTCTGAAACTTGCAGATATTATAGTGAAATATTTCCAAAAAAATCGGCCATTTTTTATTTACGARATTCGCTAAAGGATCCCAAAAATGCACAGGGAAACCGCACGAATGACATTCAGTTCTTTGATATGAAAAGTGTCATTGATCTTTTAAGAACTACCGCCAATCAAGAGTAATTACGTGGAGTTTAACAGCAACAATGCATTTCGGTCGTTAAATATGCAGGAAAACAGTTTTCAATAATCAACGCTTTTCAAAATAGTTGTATAAKTAACTGCAKTGTAAAAACTCCTTACCAAKCCACCCATGGACAATAATAACCGTTCTTTTTCTACCATTGTATCTGGAGGACTTGAGAAGAGTGACGTCATGATCATTTATAGGCTTGTCCCCCATTGGTTCCAGTCTGGTCATCACACGATACGATAGACCGATCTCATCAGGGTGTTGAGGCAGTGGAACTARTGGACGRGTGAATGGTGGATCATCGCTGAAGCATCCATACTTACCATAACATACTTTCTTGCAGGATGCTTGATGTACTTTTGAATATAAAAATATAGCTTTAAAACAGTCATTCTACTGTGATACCCGCAGCTTACAGAACAATCATAAATTCTTGTAATTATCGCGCGCGCTAATTTATTTTTTTTTCAACCCGTTAACTTATACGCGTGCAAACCTGTTGCATTAAAACGTACTGAGGAAGGTCAGAGTTCTGACTGAAACGTCTGCGTTTTCATTAAAATCTTAGGTTAGTGACAAATATTTTTATTCAGTTTTTATTATGACTCTTCCTAGCTGCAATTTTAAAATATTCAGTCATTCTATAGTTCCATTGTATTACTATAAAAATKATATTGTGCTGTGGCCATTTGTAGTGAGTGTTGACAAAGTTTCCACTTAATAATGATTTTCTATTGATTTTTGTGGTAACTCCGTATGGAGTAATCCACACTATGTCGTCGCGATGTAAGCAAGAAAGAGTTTGTAAACACCGACTTATACACGACTGTTTTCCGAAACAGCTTCGATAATGTCCCGATCGATGAAGTCGATAATTTCCCGATCAATGACATAATGGAATTCAAAGTCCTCAAATGTCTCGAGGGATACGCCTCATGGTATCGTATTCCAAGCAACGGTTGTCTCGCTTCGATGACAAGGCACGGCTACCTTTCAAGATGACGCAGGTAACCGTGAAGGAGACTATTGGTGAGTACAGCTAGTTATTAATTTATTGCTCTTTATCTATAACAGTTTTCATTATATTCATTATATCTTATTACTAGAATGGAGAGAATTTTCTCAGGTGTTTTTCAGATTTTGAATCGCTCTTACGGCGAAGTTATAGTTTGGATTTACGGTTGATTCAACAGAGGTCAACATGGCATTACCCCTACGACTCTACTTGACTACAACCAAATGACTGAAAAAGACATAAAAGCAATCATTGTTGAGGTGCAAAAMGTTCGAGCAACCTACGATGGTGGAAGAATTATTGACATTACTCAGGCTTAAACTTTTATGCATACACATCTGTATGTTCTTATTAGAAGCGATTTAAGGTGTTTCGATCGTAATAAATAGCGTTCCACGCGTAGTTTTAAACTCCAACTACGTCGCAAATTTCGATTGAATTGCACTCAAACTTTCACAGAAGTAACAGTGATTATCGATAATCCTTGTTGATAAATTAATTTGCCAAAAAGCGAAGCCATTTGGATAAACGATGCAAAATAAAAACACCTTCATTTTTCTTCTAAATTAGTCTTCTCGAAACTCRTCGCAGAGATTGTAATAAAATTTTCAGAATCATTTTTTGATAACGTAATTACTGACGAAGTTTCAATAAAATCTTAACCTAAAATTTCGATTTGTTCGAATGTACATCATTTTGCTCAAACAACTCGAACATGCGTAGTGTCAGGGAAAAGTTGGGTACGGGATTGCGTTCATTCTTCATTTTATGAAAATTGGATTTGGAGTAATCACATGCGCTCAGAGAGCGTCTTTAATTATCTGCTGTATACGTTTTTTGCATGAAACAATTGAATTTTTGTTATGAAGTAGTAATTTTCTGTTTGAATATTTCAGGTTCGTACGCAATTACGAACTCCAACAGAATACCGAAACCGATGAAACGGTGAATTACATGGCGATTTTTAAGAAAACTACATTCACTACTAATTGCATTGCGCCGTCTCCCCGCTTTGGCTCAATTATGGGCACCCCAGAGCGAGGCATTTCCGTTGGTGCACGAGTTGCAAGTACCGTCCATCGGTAGGCTGTAGTATTTTGATCTTCTGACTAAAATATCTCGAAAAACATTTTTCACTCGAGGCTGAACCTTGGACGCAAGTAACAATGGGTATTGATCGAAAACTGTACGGAGTTCGATGTCAATTAGATGAAGTTAAAGGGGGTCTTAGAGGTTGTAGTTTAGAGCCGGTTGGCAAATGACGATCGCTGACTGACCTCCCTTGTCTATTTTTACGCTTATTTACGAGGAGGGAAAAATATAAAATGGCTTTAAAAATCAATATTTATTCATAAAAATGTTTATACTTAGAAAAAAAGGAAAAAAAAAGAGCAAGTCCTGAAAAGTCTCAAGAAATGAAGTAGAAAAAATTGGGATCACTCAAGGATTCTGGTCATCGGGTATCGGAGTCCGATTTTGAAAATTATCGTGGTATACCCCCGATAGTCAGGCTTCATGAGGGCTCGAGGCGCGAACCACGCAATACATTGGCACCGCCGTGAAAGCAACACAATTGTTGAGCCTGGGCGCTCTGTGAAAAGCTAAGATTGTTCACCTTTTTTCAGCTGCCGATTAATTGGATTAACTATAAACGTTACTTCTCGGTATTCTTATTAAAGCCATACCGAATTTACTCCAACATAAAAGTGATGAATTGAAACCGTAAACTTTGCAAACTCGCCGATATTTCGCAACCTTAAATGGCCAGAAATATAATAGAAATATCTAAAACCTTCCTCTAAAATCTACAAATACCGTCAATAACCGTCAGCCTATTGATAGGACCCTTTACAAGTACTACACTTTTTTCGGTGCATAAATTATAAAATGTGAAACTTCATCTCCAGAATTGAGAAGACATTACACGTCAGACACTTATGATCAATTTTTGGTAGATGTCAACATTCCCTTATTTGGTGTAAACAGCTATTTCAGTAAGCGTGTCGACAAGGCGATGGGTAAATAGTCAATTACCCATATTTACATATTTACCCATATTTAAATACATCCGGATATGATGATTTATCGAGCGTCAATGTAGGTCTGAGTAAGTTATAAATGGGACACTTTACTCTTTACACCTAATATAACTAGTTCATGTGCATGTATTTCAAACAAACCACCTGAGGCGTGAACACTTACAGATTATTTTAAAAGCACTTTAGCTCGCTCTTCGAATATTATTAACTAGCGATAGAACAAGAATTTGAAGACTTTTAATAGTTTAATAATTGATTGAATTTTTACTACCTGTATCAGGCATTGGCAAACTTTTTTTTGGCAGTCAATGATTTTCAAAAACAAATCTTCGAATCGAATAATAAAATCAATATCAAAAGAATGGAAGTATTATTCATGTGTACACGCTTCAAGTAATTTCACTAGTAATTTTTATGAAGATTTGCATCTCGAATACGAAAGAGACTTATACATCTTCATGGTGTTAACTATGTCATCTTTTGTCAGTTCAGACTTATTTACAATGCTGCTCACGCTAAAAAGTAATCGATTAAAAATTCCGTGAACGTCTTTATTGTATAGACTGTAAAGAAAACAATACATTAGTGTTTTCATAGCAATGGCGAGATTGTGATGAACTTACCTATAACGGCGGCGAACAGCAAAGCAACCAAACCTGCCAGCCGACAATACTTTACAACCATCAGGAGCTGAATATTACCAGATCAACTGTACAATTAACACACAGAAATACCTCATGCACCACTAGTAATTATGTACTGAGAGTAATATACCCTGAGTAGATTTTATATCAAAGGTACATTGGCCAATCAGATGCCATGAAAACCACTTTGAAATCAATTAAACTTATTTACTCTTTGTTGACACAACGGTTAAAAAACGCAAACAGCAAATGACTGATTATACTGAAAACTGTTCGAATTGTACAGATGGATAAACAATGTGATTTATTGAATTATAAGTTATGTTTTTTTAACAACACAATAAGCCACGTATTTGACAGCGAGTCGCAAAATTCTGTAAATCATCATCCAATATTGGTTGCATTATGGGATTGCAATAATTAGCATCAAGGTGCTAATTGCTTTATGCATTGGGCCTTGTGAAAAAAATGTGGTAAAGATTTTCACCCTGGAGTCCTTTGGCTAAGATACAGTGCACATACAAATATTTTGAGAGTTCCTGTAGCCATATCTTATAGGTGGGCGTACGATGACGTAGTTTGTTTACACCCAAAATATAAAATTCAAAAAATAAGCAATCTGAGCTCATATATTTCAAGATTATATTACTCTCAACAAAACCTGAAAATTTTAGGGAAAACGTATTTTTAAATTTTGAGATATCGGCATTTCAAAACTAGAAAATCTATAGAAAACATTCAGTGGTTGGCAAAATAATGCCAACCAAGGTCATTTCTTTAGAAAATCTTGCAAATTCGGCGCTTGATATCTCTTGAAATATTTCACCACATTCCCAGAAATTCGATACAACATGGCGCGACGCATGCGCATTAATTATCTGGTCGGCTAATCCACGGCATTTTAATGAGCAACTAGACGCATAGCTGCGTGAACTCGGGGTTCTGCTTGAATATATCATAAAACGATGAAGTGACAACAATGAGTGTTGTAGTCGAAGAATTGAGAAGAATTGGACTATATTGAACCTTAATAAAGTTAATAGTCATACTATCAAAAGGTGTAAAGCAAAAAATACTTCCTGGAATAAAAAATAATAAAAAAACAGTGTACTCAGCATAAATATCATGAAAAAATTGATTATCAGCAAGCCGGTCTTTGATAGTCACATGACAGGCTGTAAACACAGAGTCTTTTATCTTCTCCGCTCTTCCATTCGTCGGCTTTTCCTCAGAAGAATCTGTTCGCATTCCTTAGACGAGACCTTAGTAGTTTCAGAGCCTGCATAAGTTCGTATACAGTTCGCTTGTGCTAAGATAGGTAGCTTGTTTGATAGACAATTCTCGATAGACTCGATCTCGATAGACAGTAAGATAAATTCTCGATAAATTTACGTTATCTTCTGAAATTCCTTTTTCGGAAACTACGCTGGTCATATTTTAGTGTGGCTATGCCACGAAAGTGTGGATATTTTTAAGTGATTTGAGCGTATTTGTAGACGTTGAATTTCTGTCTTCTTCCACCTCGCGTATTACAGTCTCGCCGACTATTCTCATCGGTTTACACATTAAGTCATCAGTCGAAAAAAATTCTAAAATCACAGACACGCAACATTAAAGTACTAAAATACCTTGAAGAGCATAATAGAAGTTCTCTCTGAAAGTTTCAACTATTTTTGCTGTTTATTCGTTGAGTTATTAACGTTCAAAAATATGTCACGCAATACTGTCAAGCTACTTTGAAACACGCCAAATTAACCTCGGAAAGCCTATAAATCTTAAAACAACTATAGTCTCAGCATTAAATTAAATTTTTAGAATGATATTGTTAGAAAACTGAAGCAAAATCATTACTTTTGAGCTTATTTCGACACTCGGAGTTACTGTCCGCGTGGTTGTGTACTGGATAGTACACCATCAGGGCTTTCCCATACATTCCCTTGTAAAGTAAGACCATATTCAAACGCTTATATTTTTGCTAAAAAATCGCAGTTTGACTTCAAACTTTGCATAATTGTTGGGAATTATATGCTGTTTTTGGCCATGAACATGAAAAATTCATTTAGATCTTAAAACACAGCCTTTTGTAGTTATTTCTTGACCTGTCTAAAACGCATTGAGCCGTGATAATCCCATACATTCTTACCAATTTTCGTTTGCTCGTATTTCTGTTAAAAAGCATTATTTTGGCTCAAAATTTCGCAATAATACTTTCATTTAGATGTTCTATCGAGGACAATAATAATATTTCGCTAATTTGGTCTCTAAATAGCATTTTTAGAATAACACGTGATTATGAGCTTGGGCTACCTGTGGACAATTTGTGACTGATAAGCGACGACAAAGAAAAATAAGAAGCCCGAAATTTAAACTCTGGGTTCCACAGGAACCCCGAGTAATAAAATACAAAGAAATGTATTTAATACTTTATTCATCTTCAAATATTTCTGTTATTTTTGACGTTCGAATTTTCCCACAAATCGTATTTTGAAGTTTGATGTATTGTCTTTGATATGGCGATATAAAATAAGCCGTTTCGAAGTCCTAAACCAAAATCAATAGAAAATACTCACCAAAATAGCCGTCAGCCGCCATACTTTCCTTGTAAAAACACCATAAAACACTTGACATCCGGTTGTTGAGATCCTCATAAACATGTCTTAACTACCAGATTTCTCATCCCCACAAATCTTATTCCTTAGAACACATACTAAGCTACATTTCTGTGCCAAAAAACATAAAAACACTTGACTTAAACCGGTTCCATTTTCCTTCGAAGATCTGCCATTCTTTGACCTCTCGGATTGTGGAATGCGAAGGTCCAAGTCGATTTTTTTGAGCAGAAACAAGAGATTTMGTACTTCTACATGATCTAGCACGCCATTTGTTTCWGTTTATACCTTAGTAACCTCCCATGTCTCTTCATGTAGCAAAATAGGCATTTTCTAGCAAAATAAGCATTTTGGGTTTCCTGTGTGAAAGATTTTGGCGGGGATATCGAAACAATACAAAGAAGATATGTCAGATGAAAGAAAGGCGTCTCTCTTTAAATACAAAGAGAAACTACAGTTCAGAGAGCATAAACTTAGATATATAAGTGGATTTTTGGCAAGAAAACCGCTTTTATGCTGTTAAAATCCCGTGTCCTTGCTTCACTAATACACGAGCCCGCGTGTTTACATCGAACCGCTGACTGTATCAAATTTCTGGGAATGAATTGCCTTTAAATTTGCAGGAATTGTTAACAGGTATGAGTTCTTTTCATTTATGGGCTTGATTTTCTTGTGTCTTGAAATTCGATTTCTGAATTTTATGCAAATTAGCTAAAACGTAAACATTGGCGCACACCTATATCACTGTACGTACACTGTATATTATGAATATGTTTTCGCTTACTGCTGGGGAATTGGAAGGACTGACTCGGAAATTCTCTTTTCATATTCACAAAGAGTTTAAACCTAGTCAAAAAGGCTGATTTTATCGTAGCTAACATCAAAGGGGATTCAGAAAGTCTTCAGAAATTCAATCAAAATTTACCTAAGCGTGTTGCATTATGTGCATTACCTACCATCACTTGAAGAGAAAGCCGAAATTCATATTTTATTCAGGCAATCCGGTTTATCATTTGTGTTTCCGACATAACAGCTTTTTGGATATACACTTACAGCAGCAGTTCAGCGTTTTGTTACTTTCTGACTATAAATAACTGCAAACAGTGCCGGATCCAGGATTTTTCAAAGGGGGGTTCCTCTTTGTTTTCGCATTTTCCTAACTTTTTTACTGTGCCTCTCGAACTGTAGCAAATGTAGTGTGAATGTATTGAATAAAAATTCATTGTACGATGCGTTTTCATTTTCTTTCATTTATCATTTATTTCATTTTTTTTATGCTTGAGGGGGGTTCCTAGGAACCCATGGAACCCCCCCTGGATCCGCCACTGGCAAATTCGATCCTTATCACACAAATAAAGTATGATAGATAATGAGTGAGAGTACAAATGAGAAAGAAGTTGTTATACCAATATAAGTCATATATGTATAAACAAATGTGTCAGAACCTCTAGTTCAATATGTACCATCACCTTCATCTATCTCTGAGTGGTGATACCCCTGCGTTTGCCTCTTGATCTACTGCCTGAGAATATATGGATAATAATGTACTTAAGAAATTTGGTTGAGTAACCATGTACAAAAAATTGCAGACCAAAGCTATTGGAAAACAATATGGATAATCTGAATGCATATTTTTTTATTTCACCGGAGCCTCGTCTACAAATTGGCTAATGACTTACTTGTGCTCACTCTGTAAACACAAATGGTAGAAATCATAGCCCTCTATCTAAACCTAAAATAATCGTCAAGAGAAGTCTTCGTTAAGTTGTTACAACGACAAAGACCGCTAATAAAAGTGACCTGTCGCGTGAGTTTTGTTTCTGGTGGTGGAATTATCAAATGGCGCGCACACCACGTATCAGTATCGGTATCGTAATGACATAAACAACCGTCACTGAGATTCCAGTTCATCTGCGAGAAAAAAAATCAAATGTTTTAGTGTTTGGGCCATCAACTTGTGCGGGCAAAACCTGGTCAACCATTTCCACAAAGTGAGAAAGGGTACTTGCTACAAGGAAACATCTGCTACCTTCTAAAACTAAGATGCAGTCCCTATGAAAGAGATGGCTTTGAACACTCTCAACGAAGAGAATTATATTTTTAGAGAGTTATATTTTCACTAGGAATAAAAGTGTTGAATATCATTAAGATTGCAGTTCACTAGTTCTTTAATTGGGGGTCCGATGGCTGTAACCTGCGAGCAGAGTGTATTTCCTTACTTGAGGTAGGGAAATACACTCTGCTCGCAGGGTATACGATGGCTGTTAAAACCAAATAAAAAAATTCCCTTACTTAATGTGGAATGAACCATTGAACATTCTTCGGTGCGCATTGACGGAATCAAGGTTTTGATGAAAAGTTAGCTTGCATTCATCGAATATTATTTCAGTCATTTCTTATACAAATTGATYCCAGAAGCTTTGCCTTTGGTATAAAATAGATTAAGGGAAAATTTGCTCCAAAAAAGACAACAAATTGTGAATGGCAATTGCTGACTCGTAAAACACACTTAAAAATTAGTAAATAGCAATTGTATTGTTGATCATGATGATTGACGTTTTCTTTCATATGTTTTATTGATTTAGCCATCAATTGCCTTTTAAAGTGCACATGACACCTTAATAAAATTACTTTTATCCGAAAGTTAACACGCGCTGCCAAGCACTTTCTGTGAAGAAAAAAATAGATTTTGAATTGTACTTTCTGAGTTATAGGCATTTGAAAATTGAAAATGCAAATGAAGTGACGTTAAATAATGAATTGATCCAGTCCTTTTTACATTGTTTGTGTTATGTTGCTTTTTGATGAAGAGCTCAAACTATCGATTATTGTAAAATTAGAGCTGAAAATTCTTTTTCCAATGTAACAAAGAGAATACCGTCCTCTTTCAAGATTTTGTATATTAAATCATTACTAAGTGGACGTCATCACCTCATTTGCATTTTCTAAGTTTCAATTACCCATGACTGAGAAAATACAATTTTAAATCAATTTCTCTCTTCAAATGTACTTAACAGCATTTTTTTCTTTTGGATGAGAATGAATTTCTAATGATGTCATKTGCACTTTAAACTATAATTGACGACAACTACCTGTATTCTAAAATACAATAGCGAACCAACAAATCTTCCAAGGAAACTTGCTGAAGGAACCGCCCCCGCACAGCGTGCGCACTTCTTGTACGAAACGGTTGGTTAACAACGCGTTATTGGATACGAGAGATAATTCAGTGTTCTACTTGTTTCTTTAAAAAAAACTGTCTGCTTATATCATGGTTCCTCTTAGTTTATTAGTAGAAGTACTTAGCGATTATTAAATGAGAAACGAGCACTGCGAGACCTATATATTCCGTGCAATTTCCAGCGAGCGTGGCATGGGTGTGTCCATTTTTGGTCACCATCAATATAACAACAAGATCCTTTGTGATAATGGAATATTCTAAAAATGAGATGGTGGTCTCAATTCACGACACCGTTAAAAATATTGGTTAACGGCTTATTTGCAATAGAAACATTATCAGAGAACAAGGATTTTTCGTAAATGAAGTGTATATAGGGAATTATATAGAGGATATTACATGGGCGCGCGGAGATACGGATTTTATCTTCGAGTGTTGAAAAGCGAACGAGTGAGAGATTTTCAACACGAGAAGATAAAATTTGTATCTACAAGCGACCATGTAATATTCTGTTTATCATATAATTAAATATGAAAACAAGTTATGTCTTAAAATACCTTTTTTCTTACTTCCACTATATAGAGAAACCTCGAATGTGTTATTTTCACTAGTGAAAATAAAATTTTCACTAGTGAAAATATCAATTTTACGTAATGGAGAAATTAATATAGGTATTTCATAGATAATTATGTGATAAATTATAATAACCTTAATATTATCATATATTATTATCATAATCATTTCTGTGTGGTTTGTTTTCTAGTTATTTTTCTAGTTATAAAGCAGCCAAAGTTAAGGTTATAGCTAACTAATCAGTACATCATCCTTATTCATAGAATTTCTCCAATAGAAGGCCTTCAGATTATAAACCCGCCGTTATGTACAACCAATAGAAGGCCTTCAGATTATAAACCCGCCGTTATGTACAACCAATGCATTTCAAATGATACTTTATGTACATGTTTTTGCAAATGATACTTAAGGCTAAATAAATACATCATGTGTACCTAATTACACCTAATATCAAAGGAAGAAAGAACATTTGTACTTTAGTAAAAAGAGATAAATTAGAAAAAAAGAAGAAGAAGATCACTCAGGCTGAACGCTTTCTTTTGTCTTTTAATGTATTTCTTTTCACTGACATAAAAATGCTTTTATTTCTTTATAACTGACAAACGATTTGGTATTTAGGTGTATATGTTTTTATATATATTCTTCTCTATTTTTTCCGCAAGAGTAGCAAATCGTCAATCATTGTTCAAGCATTCAAAATATGCAGTTAATTAGTGATCGTTGTGAAGGGGGCGGTCAAAAATGTCATGGTGGGCGGCTCTGAATCATGTGACAGTGGTTAGCATATCTTATAAATATGGATGAGGTAATTAGTTTTATCACTCTTTCCTGTTCATCTTCTAGGGTAAGTGCAATTTTGATATATGAACTTCTGTGAATTCTGTCTTTGTGAGACATATGACTTTTGTTACGACGGGGTCTGTTCTTCTAAACATGTTCTTGTACGATTTTTTTCGTGGGAATTTTTATTTTTATTTTCCTGAAAAAAATTGTCCTTGCCTAAAGAGTTCTTTCTTCCTGAATCTCTCGCTGGCAACCAGTTGTGACTTACAGCTGGCTGGGACAGAAACATATATATTTTTCCCAGGAACCCATAGGTTCCTCCTACAACTACTTAAATGTCAAATAACTTTTTAMCGTGTGAAGCATTCTCTATCATTTGCCTAAGAAACTAATCGTATCAGAGCTTGTACAATTTTTTCTTCAACAAAATTCACTGATACCAAGTGCCTTTTTATTTTATTTTTTAGAATATCATTTTATTCGAAAGAGAACATGCTGCTAGGCACTTCTGCAAATGAAAAACATATAATTTATATCTTCTGATTTAAAAACATTTGAACGTCTAATAAGGAATTATTTAATAATGCAAAATCACGAAAAAAGAACATTACTCCTTTTTTTAAATCCGAGATGACATTTCCAGATCTTGAATATAACTATTGATGACCATTTGAACCAAACGCAAAATAACACAAACAATGAAAAACCTCCAGCGAAATACTCTTATTTCGATTTCTCTTCAATCAAGCATAAATTTTTATTGTCTTCTTTGCAGACAGAGTGTTTGCATTACAATAGGATCTCTACTGAATACAAGAATATATTAGATGCTGTCGAGGTTAAGGCTGCACAAATAAGATCTCGAAATTGGAGTATTGCTTGGTTGACGTCACTTCATTAGCATTTTCAATTTTCAAATGCCTTTAACTCAGAAAATAGAATTCAAACAACTTTTATTCCTTAARAACAATGCTTAGTTGATTATTTGCCTTCTGTTAAAACAGTTTTCTAACAGGGTTTATGTGCACTTTAAGATTTTATGAAAAGCCATTTTGTACCTCTCTTGAAATTGTGATAATGAAGCAAATTCATTTTAACCTACAATCAGAGAAGAATTGCCTTTTTGCATAATGACGTCACAGCATGTTTACATTGTGTGTAGATACTCAGAAAAAAATCAAAATTTGTACATATTAAATATTCTTTCCGAAAGTAGAAGTGTAGTATATCGAGTTTTGATGTATATCATTTATCAATGGTAGCTCATCTACATTTTATTTGATATGCGTGATCGCCCCGATCCCCTCTGGCGACAATAATCCTTATTTTGGTGTGACGTAATTATGCGATAGGGCAATTAAGCACTCGACTGATGACGTTTTCTGTCAGATTCTACATGTGTTTTCTCTATGCATATACACCTTTACCATAATGGCCGCCATCTATTAACATAAATTTTTAAAATTTAGAATTYTAGTCTAAGTAAACTAACAGCTGATAGGAACCTGTGCTAATAACAACATATAAAAGTTTGAAATGAAAATATGAAATTCTGGTGAAGTCATAAGGATTTAAAATATGTCATAATACCAGAACGAGGCCTTGGATGAAAATTACATACACTTCTTGTATTTTCATTTGGCCATAAATTTGTTCGCATTTTATCCTGGTCTGTAAAACTTTCAAAAAATGTTTATGTTTATTTCTGTCCAGAGTTATAAAACGTTCCAAAAAAGTTTTTTTCCTGATAGTTCTTTGAAGTTACAGTGACAAAATATTCATATCTATTTTATTTTGGAAAAACACAATTGCAGCCATTATGGTAAAGGTGTATTCCATTAGTGATTTCCAGTGAGCCACCATAACTTTCCGACTCATTATTTTAGTGACAGTTTTCTGTACTTTTCTTCTTCGCAGTAGAAATTATTGTCTGAGCACTAAGACGAAATCATGAAGTTTCTTGCTTTTGTTGCAATTTCTTGTATACTGCAKCACATCACTGGTAAGTATTAAGACAATAGTCACCGCACGTATTGCATTCTACTGTCTTGTTCTGCCGATCCACATTTTCGTGTTTTTTTTTTGTTTTTTTTTTTTTTTTTTTTTTTTTGKSYTTTTTTTTTCTTTTTGAAATATYCCGGGARAAAGACACTTTCTCCCGGAATAAGCTTAAATATATAGATCATTGKWAATACTAATCCCAAGGTTGTGGTTCGAATCTCAGCGAAGTCGGAAAMTTTACGAATTCAAAAGAATTTTYGCCCGGAATAACCTCCTTTCTAAGCTAGCACTACAACTTTCCATTACTTCTCTTTCATGATAATGAATTATTATCATTATGTATTTAGACGCTGGCCGCACATTGACTGTTAGTCCTAGGTACTTTTCCGGACGGCCTGACCCTCAATGGCAGATCCAAGAGGCATCGGACACTGCGAAACTGTTTGAATTGTACAAAATGGCCAAGGACAACAAGTTACTACTTTCAGAAGAAAGCGTTCCTTCTCGTCTTGGTTATCAGGGTTTCATTGTAAGCGACGATGGGATGAAGACCTATGGTAAGAATTTTTATCATATGGCTTGTAAATTTCCTGAATTCTGATTGGCTGACGCGAGGTCCGTTTAGAGCCGTATCGGACCGTTGCTATATATGGTAATCAGTCCAACTTTCATATTTTCTGAAGTTGGACCGAGGGAATCAAGACAACTCTGTTTATCAGATTTGCGACTTTCTTTGAAATGAAAAAAAAGGAAACAAAATCCATTTTTTTAATGATCTGAAAGAAAGATGGTTCAATTTCAGCTACTCCTGCCTTTTTGTCCGCGTACAGTTGTTTTCAATGCCAACGGCATCAATCCAGCTTAGAAATGCTCGATAAGTATTCACCATAATTTAAAGATAGCCCAAAAACGATTATTTTGGAAGAAAAACTCAATATCAAGTTATAAAAGCTCAAAAGAAGCCAGAACATAAGTCCACAAACTAATCAAAACAAAAGTGAAAAGCCGAAGAGATTCAAACCAGTGTCTTGGAAACAATGAAATCCTCTTCTTTGAGCTTGTTTACTGAAAAAAAGAGAACAAAAAACCTGGAAGTCTAGAGGAAGATGATTTTTAAGATGGAGAAACTGAAAAGACAAAAGAAAACTTTGAATAAGTGTGAACTCAAATGCTCTGCTTTCTCGATGAAAACAACTGAAAACATACGAACTTTCAAGCACTTCGCGGCACAAAATCCTCGTCTATCAAGTTCTCGATGCAATAACTCCTCGGCTGCTGGAAAAAGAAAAAAAATTGTAATTCTATATTGAGGGATATCCACGTCGAAAAAAGTAAACAAATCTACACCGGCAACGGCGATAGAAGAATCAGTGAAATTTTGTGAGTAGCTGTCTGCAGTAATACTATAGATGTATTTGTGCATGAAAATAAACTAAATATAAATAGCTAGAAGCCAAAATCCCCGTCTTTTTAGCAGACAATTACTAAAATATCATTATTTTTGTGTCATTTTACTCAAAACGCGAGCTGTGTATTTGAGAAAAGCGGTGCTATCAGATAGAAGAACGCAACCGGTTGTAAGTAAGACCAGTGGAGACTTTTCCTGTATACTTTTAAGTAAAAAGTAATTATTCTACATACAGCCTTTTGCACAAATTATGAGACATTTTTATATATATAAATATACCTAACCAAATATCAAAAACACCCAAAAAATTATGGGATACCGTCGCTGATATTTTGTCTGTAACAACCTGATGCTAGGCAATCATGACAAAATATCAGCGACGGTATCCCNTTCTCTTTCATGATAATGAATTATTATCATTATGTATTTAGACGCTGGCCGCACATTGACTGTTAGTCCTAGGTACTTTTCCGGACGGCCTGACCCTCAATGGCAGATCCAAGAGGCATCGGACACTGCGAAACTGTTTGAATTGTACAAAATGGCCAAGGACAACAAGTTACTACTTTCAGAAGAAAGCGTTCCTTCTCGTCTTGGTTATCAGGGTTTCATTGTAAGCGACGATGGGATGAAGACCTATGGTAAGAATTTTTAGTATATGGCTTGTAAATTTCCTGAATTCTGATTGGCTGACGCGCGGTCCGTCCAGAGCCGTATCGTGCCGTTTCTATGGTAACCAATCTAACTTTCATATTTTCTGAAATTGGACCGTGGGAATCAAGACAACTTTGTTTATCAGATTTGCGACTTTCTTTGAAATAAAAAAAATGAAACAAAATCCATTTTTTTAATGATCTTAAAGAAAGATGGTTCAATTTCAGCTACTCCCGCCTTTTTGTCCGCGCTCGCGTCTTAGCACTTGACTTTCCCGCTCTTTCCAAAGTTGACCGTACAGTTGTTTTCAATGCCAACGGCATCAATCCAGCTTAGAAATGCTCGATAAGTATTCACCATAATTTAAAGATAGCCCCAAAACGATTATTTTGGAAGAAAAACTCAATATCAAGTTGTAAAAGCTCAAAAGAAGCCAGAACATAAGTCTCGCTGAATTCAAATTCGGAAAGAATTATTRATTGCAAACGTTAGATACAACAAAAAGGAGTTACCTGGCCAAACTTGAAGGATGTACTTCATCTAGGGAGCGAGAAAATTTATTTTTAGTTCTCAATACATTTCTTTGTATTTTTCACGCGCGTCACGCGCTGATGATCCCGGAACTTACAAAGAAATGTATGGGGAACTAAAAATGAGTTTATTCGCTCTCTAGATCAAGTACGCCCTTCAAATTTGGCCAGTTAACTCCTTTTTACAGTAACTAACGTTTGCAATTGATAACTCTTTCCGAAGTTGAATTCAGCGGGAATTATTTGACTTCGATTTCCCAACCTGGGAAAAGTTTTTTTTTTTTTTTTTTTTTTGCAATTCAGACGCGCTGTGGCTAGATCTGTAGAGACTTTTACAAACCAAAAACTCGAAAATGCTCAAGATGTAGGGTGGCCAACGTGGTATTTCGATTTGCAAAAAACGATTTTGACTTAACACGAAGATACGTGATTCTCCCTTATCCCTTACCCAGTGCACCACAAAGTCGAAATTTAGGCATTCCTTTTTGCCCAGGCTCCTTTTTGGGTCCTTTTGCCCAGATATTGTGCTAGATGTTAAATGTTTTCAACTGTAAGAGTTTCATTACTAACTGTTGTCATGTGTCACATTTGGTGGTCATAATTTGCGATCTCGGAAACTTGCAATTTTGAGAAACATCGGTCTTGGGTGACCGATAATCCCTAAAGCGGGCGTCAAAGGCTTAAACGTTATATTTTGATTTCAATTTTTATGTTTTTTTAATGATCTCTGCTTCTTATAAAAGGTGATTTCTCTCAACATATTGATGCCTTTTTCGTGTTCATCTTTATACACAAAATATGATAAACTAGTGACTTACTTAACTGGTAAATTCTTGAAAATATAATGATAATTTGTCGTGAAAAGCCTCAATTCAATAGGAAAGCTACATTCCTACGTTGTCAAAGGAAGCATCTCTCAAAGTGTTCATTCCTGAATGATCGCAAGTTTCTCTGATTCCTCACAATATTCTCTTGTGTTCTAGTAATCTGATCGCCAAATTACTAAAATAGTTTTCTATATATCACAAAGTTAAAATAGTATCGAAAATCCAAATCGAAAATGATCTAATAGAGAATAACCTTGGAAAAACTGATTTTAATTATTTCAAAGGACTGGCTATTGGTAAAAAGACCAAAGACTTACAGCTGCAGCTAGTGGAACATGGCGAGGAAAAAGGACATCTGGGTGCCAAAATTGCCCAAAATATCAAAAATGCTTTACTAAGCGGGAAAGTACAGCCTGCAACCAGCACAACATCAGAGCGGCGTGCTCCTCCGACCTGGCCGGCAAGCGATGTCTGGAAGGATATGAGAGTCAAAGATTGCAATAACTGTTACGATTATGCTGTTGACATACCCTTCCTCGTAACTACAAGTGCGGTAGTCCAGGACTCGGTAGTGGCCAGGAATGGACTGCACCCCTAACAGCAGCTGGGATAAGGGCCGCAGCTGTGCGTGACGGGCTAATTGAGACAGATCCCCCTCAAGGAGGTGGAATACCTCAAATACCACCGCAATATGCCGAGACAAGGCATCTTGTTGCACTTGTTGTTGATCCAGGTAGGAACGATGAATAATGCTATTGGGTATGATCAAGACAACAGACGGATTGTTTTCTTGTACTTTTACATACTGCTCAAAGACCGAATGTTTAACATGATGCAAATTACTTTTAGATTCAGCCTTTTTTTGACCTTGTTATTCAGTTTGCACGAGCATATTGACACTGTTGACACTAATGAAGGCTGGTCGATTCCATGGTCGATATATTGACCGAACCGCGTCTATCATGAAGATTTCATAAACGATCCAGAGGCAGTTATTCGCGTACTTTTTTAGTATGATTCCTACAACTTCAGCAATTTTAAAAATCGTCTGAGCGTTCTTGCTTACGTCTATTGAAATTTCTTTTACTAGATCCTAACAATGGCGATTTCCACTGGTACCGTCTTGACAATAATGGGCGCTGGTCACACAAACCAGGGTTAACACCTATCATAAACTATGACGGGAACGGCAATGTCATTGACGATCCAAGGCAAGCAGCCAATTTTCCGAATGGGCCAAACTACAGATTCGTCTGCTTCATGACGGTCATCAAGAACATCGTTAAGAAGAAAGGTGAAAAAGAGACTGGTAGATGTGTGACGTGTTAATTCTGCATGACAATATGGTTATTCTTAGGCTGGTTATAAGGCAGCAATAAATAAAAGGATTCATTTCCAGATACGTTTACCTTCTTTCTAGTTGCTTCGAACTTATATGCAGCTACCTCCACATTAAGTCCATAGTTATCTCTTCCTCATTCCCAATAGCCTCTCCCACCTTTCCTCCAGCTTATTTCCATTTGACTGCACGTTATTTCGATCTATTTCAAGTTGCCTTTATTAGAGTTACAGTAAAAATCCGCGTATAAGAACACCTATTTTGGCGGTTCAGGCTGATTTGGTTCTTAAAGTAAGGAACATACTAGGCTACCAACAGATGAAATAAATATAACAGTAGTACATATTTTATTTTGTTTAATGTTATATATAATTGGGGTGGAACTATTATGTGTACAATGAAAAGTAGTGTTGATCTTTGATATTTTCCATATAAGAACATCTTTCATTTTTCAGGCTGAATGTGTTCTTATATAAATGGTACTTTATTTCCTAAAATCAGGCCTGGGTGTTCTCTTTCCACTTGTTCTTATACGCGGGTTTTTACTGTATTTCTAGATACCACGTCCTTCTTGCCAGTTACTCGACCATATTCCCAGTTACCTCGACCTTACTCCTAGTTACCTCAACCTTATTTCCAGTTACTTCGACCTTATTCCCAGTTAACTCGACTTTGTTCCAGGTAACTCGACCTTGTTCTAGGTAACTCGACCTTATAGTTAGTTTACTTCCTGGTAATTATTGCACAGTCCCTAATGTTACAGTAAAACAAAATTATCTTGAAAAATAACGACTAACTTGAATTTTTGACAAAAGCCGTCTTTCGGAACAGATAAGCCCTTTTATCATATGACCCGTATTTCGGCCCTACGCGCGCTCTCACTGAAACCTCTGTAAAATGGTCACGTGATGGGGTCCGTACGCCTTTTCGCGACAGGTCCGTACAAACCCGTATTTTCCCGGCTTGAAGTTCCGCGCGCTTTTATTTATTTTTTTAAATTAAAAAACGCTGTCATATGATAAAATGCTTATTGACTGAGTTAGGTCGGGCCGTACGGGAAAATATTTGGCTCTCGGTCATTTGTACGGACCTCGCTGCGCTCGGTCCGTACGGTATAACCTCGAGCCAAATATTTTCCCGTACGGCCCTCCCACTCAGTCAATAAGTACATAGTATGTTCCACTGACAAGAGTAGGAATTTAAGGAAAGACTACTGTAGCTCCACTAGCATAGAGAGAGCTATGGGAGAGCCATATTAATTTACTGTTTTTGGTATTTCATGATTTTTTGTGGAGATCAACGGAGAGAAGGAGTTGATCGAATCGACAACATCAATTATAAAGATCCGGTAACCGGATTTTTCATATAACGTTTTGACATTTTGATAATACATATTAAAAAGTTCCTGTGGTGAGTTTTGCTTAACTTTAGGGCCTGGTGCCCAGCTGAGCATGARTGTTGCGAAGTGTCTAAAAATCTAAGATGGCTTTCGATGGAGATGGGGCATATTTTAGGGATTAAGCAGAAATTGTGAAATTTTATAGCGATAACCAATGTTTATCAACAATCCCTTTCTTTTACTGAAATATACTTATTCTTATTTTTCCTGTAGATATTTGTTTTACATATTTTACACGCAAGATCATACTTGAATAGCGGCGTTGAACTGACGATCTCGGTTTCGATTCTCGACTCTAGTAGCTTGTAATATAAACATTTTTTTCTTTTTTTTCTTTTTTTCTCCTTCCTTTGTTTTATTTCTGAAATGCAAAGCAAACTTTTATCTGATAAATTTTCTAAGGATAATGCAAATGTAATCTGAATGCTAAATTTTCTTCTCGAGTAGAGTTTGTCGTACGACTTCCATATATGGATGTCCATATGCATGGCTCTGATGTACCTATAGAAGGCTCTCATGTCCTTATAGATGGTTCATTAATTATATATTCAGTCTTATGTACATATGCGTGGTTATTCATGCATGCCGTTGCATAAATATCACAAAAATTCAKKTTMACTCAAGCRAATTGGTCTCGTGGCTTAATGGTTAGGTTTAGGGATAATATCGGGTTAGGCAATACATGGCGCTGGTTCGAATCTTAGTACTCGTTCTTCAAAAATTTCTTTTCGGTTTAAGTTTAGGTCTTTGAAATTTTCTAAGTTCTTCTCCACTTAATTGGGACATCAGCGCCTTCTATGTGCACATAAGCGCCGTACATACACAACCATATATGGAAGTCGTACGACAAACCCTTCTCAAATTTTCGCTGCAATAATAATAAAAACATTCAAAAAAATGATGTGAAAAGATATGTGTAAAAATATATTGTAGTCAATTGTTTAGATGTGATTAATGTGCTTGTTGTCCCTTGATACCAATGACTGTGATGTAACTCTTATATAATCGTATTGTTGGTAAAAGTACTGTGTTCCCTCTCAAGGGACCGCAAAGTGTATTTAGTAAGACCGATTTGTTAATTAAAAGAGTTCTAGTTCAACGACTACACAACATTTGGTAGCAGAGCAAGGTTGCTTTCGCTTGGATTTATCGGTATTTTCTGCTGGATTTATGGTTTAATTGAATTCTTCAGCTGGATTTATCGTYGTTTTCTGCWGGATTTATGGTTTAATTGAATTCTTCAGCTGGATTTATCGTCGTTTTCTGCTAGATATATAGTTTAGTTGCATCAATTGTATTATTGCCATTTTCTGCTCGACTGGATACACATTTGTTGATTTATAACCCTTATTTAGTGGATATACATTTGGGGATTTACAAATTGTAACGCTTATTTACTGGATGTGCATTGGAGATACATTGATTGATTGATTACATTCGCTTGATGGATATTCATTGGTTGAACTACCACTGGCAGTCGTTTATTGAATATACTGGATATAGACCCCTTGCAGTTCGTGGGAATGAAACTCCAACTGGAGGACAAAACAATAGATTCTAGTTCCCAAGAGGTCAAAAATCTTTTGTTTTGTCCTCCAGATGAAGCTTCTTTGACGTCACATGCAAGGGGTCTATACAAGGCTGTTTTATACGGATTTGCTTATATCAATTACTGAATTTTCATTTTTGCAAAGCCTGTGTACTGGATTTTTATCACAATTGTTTTCTTGAGGAACAATTTGCCGAGGCTAATGACGAATACACTGATACAAACGATGGATTTGAGAGCCGAGTAACGGAAACATTAGAACATATACAACTGTTTATTGCAAGTACGGAGCGGCACCATAAGGAAACTCAGACGCAAAAAGGTGACTTGGTGGCCATCGTAGAAAGCCAAAAGGCATGCATTAATCGGATGGATATGGCATACAACGAGAGGATACAGGATCTTGAATCACGCATTGACAGAATGGAAATGAGAATGGGGAATAAAGAACAGGATCAAGAAACGCAAATAACACTCTTGACGCATGTYGATAAGAAGATCTCAGAGTTGGATAGACTAATGAATAATGCACTTTCGATACAGGAACGACTTAGCACAACTGCGCCAGAAGAGCACTGCGTAACGCAAAAGAGTCCAAAACCAGTACAGCTACCGCCGCACTACGATGGTTCTATGCCATGGGAGGCATATAGCGCTCAGTTTGACATTGTRTCCCAACTAAACGGCTGGACAACAGACCAGAAAGCTTCCTTTTTAGCGACTAGCTTAAAGGGAAAAGCTACACTGGTACTTAGCAATCTTTCTGAGGAAAACCGAAAAGACTACAAAGCGTTAATAAAAGCCCTGTCAAACCGTTTTGGGGCGAGTCATCGATCTGAACTGGCCAGAATGAAGTTCAAAACAAGAGTCAAGAAGCGAGACGAATCCCTTCCTGAGTTAGCGTCGGACGTGGAGCGACTTGTTAAGCTGGCCTACCCCGGAGCAGAAGCAGAGCTCCAAGACACTCTAGCAAAAGACCAGTTTGKTGATGCTCTACCCGATGAGGAAAGCAGGTTGAAAGTCAGGCAAGGGAGGCCTAAAAACATCCAAGAAGCACTTGAAATTGCCCTTGAGCTTGAATCCTACCACTTGGCCGACCGCTGGGGACATTTATTTACACACGAAGACAGCGACTTATGCTCGTCAAGCCAACGCAGTAAACCCAATGGAGGGAGAGATCAGCAAGCTGACCACATTGATTGGAAGTCTTTTTGATGAAGTAAACCAGCGTGATCGCAAGAAACCASTGGGACAGCAAAGATGTTTCAAATGTAACGAAGTGGGCCATTTTAAAGCGTCCTGCCCATTTAACGCCGGTAGAGTGCCTATGCCATTGCAACAAGGAGATAATCGAGGTCCAATGACCAATGAAACACGTCAGCCTGATTTCGTACCAGGAGGTTATGGACCGCGGACTACTGTTTCGTTGGACTCTTCAAAACCAGTGCCAAGCCATGAACATGAACAATATGGGACAAGTACACCTATTTCCTTCGACGGATCAGCTAAAGCCACGCCAAACTATAGACTAGGAGGTCGCGGAAGAGGTATGCCTGCGTCATTCAACTCTTCGTTTACTCCCGGTGATGGACGAGGACGAGCWGGTTCTGTTGCACCCTTCAATTCTCCAACTCAGCAGGAAAACTTCCAGAGGTCGTTCTCACGGGGCCGAGGACGACCGTTTTACAGCATGTAGGAAAAGCCCCAAGAACCTCACAGGATAATGGATTATTTGTGTCTGCGTTTATTGCTGGAATTAACTGTAATTGTCTYATTGACTSTRGTGCGGATATTTCWTTGATAAACAAAACATTTGTGGATGAAGTCGCAAACAGGACCAAGACTACTCTCAAAATGGAAAACACTAATGAGAAAATTAATGTGCTTGGTGGAGGGAGCATAGACGTCTTAGCAAGTTGTACCCTGCCGTTACATATTGGTGAGACAACCGTGGACCTCAAGTTCTGGGTAGATCACATGTCATTGGATTGCGTACTTGGAGGGGACTTTCTAAAACAAAATAACTGCGTGATTGATTATAAAGAAATGGTATTGACATTGAATCTCGCTGATGTTCCTATGGAACATGTACAGTCAAGACAGTG